AGAGCCATTTCCTATACATACGTTTTAATTAATAAATAATAATCTAGTTAGTTAATATCAATAAATTAAAGGTCCTCAACAACCTAATGTTTGCAGCCACAAAACCTTAACTGAAGACACCATACCTCTAAATATTAAAACAAAAGTACTAGGGCTACGTTCCTGCTCAATCCTCATCCTGGACCACTGTGCAGTATGTGTGTGTGGGCGCGAACGTTGAAGGAATTCCGCAAATGATACGAGGCAGAATCGGAAATAGAAGTTGCTTTTGCCAATTCTTTCGGACGAGGATTCATCCGCTTTCACGTTTTCAGATGATTGGGCAACGGAGGAAGTTATTTTTTTTTTTTTTTTTTTTAAGCTCGACTCCACACCCGTTACGAAAAGTTCGAAATAGTTCAGATTTCCAACCAGTCATATACATACAAACACACGCACGTTAAAGTGTTTAACTGCCAAAACTTCACCGAAAACGACGTAACTTTGTGCAGTTAATGAAACCTAAAGCAAATGCAATCTCCTCACTAGAAGTTTCAAGATAACAAAAGCGGTTGGTATAGAGTGGGACGAGTATTTGTTCTCCAATCTAAATGACAAAAGTTTCACCTTGTTTCGGGCTGGCGATACTGATGGAAAGTAGATGAGAGATAACCTTGCTTCAGGATCAGGTTGCGCTCGAAACGATGTGCAGTGCATTCCTATCGTCCTCATGTCGTAAGACATTTGGTTGAAAGTTTCCCCCAAAGGATCGGCATCACAACCTGTATATAGTGGTAATATTCTCCCCAGGAATGGTGAAACTTTCGCTCAGCTACCTTTCGACAGCAGTCGTCGGCGTGGCGGTGTGAGGTGTGTCGTCAAGTACTTCGAAGAACATGCATTTGAGTGCTGCAAGCTTCTCAATCACGGCACACTGCCGGCTGGTCCGGTAGCTCGTAGGTAGTGGGGGATTCGATTGCAAATGTGGAATTCCAATCGAGCGATTTTAGTCAATTAGGAAGCATTCGAATACGGCAATTTGCCACTGCAAATTTCCAGCTCTCCGTTGGGGTCATTCGATTGTTAATAATCCTATTAAGTATTAAGTAGCATTTAGAATGTTGTTCGGAACGGTACCGGGCGTATGGATTGGCCAGTCGTTCAATTGGTCGGTTTAACTGAGGAGAGCTAAATTCACTTAAATTCGAACGAGGCAATTCCGATACTCGAACAGGTTGATGGTTTTACGTGATAAACCTTTGTGAGATGAGAGCCCCATCAAAGACATGCAACTGTTGCTGCTCCGAAGGTATGCTCTGGTCCATACCGCAAATTCAGTTGATTCGATACAATTCAATTTTGCAGTAATTAGTTGTAGTAGCTTCCTGGATTTCAAGTTCGAGCGATGCAAATGAAGATGATGGAAGTGCATTTAAGTATATTAGATTGCTCAATGTGATTTTATTGTAAAGAGGAAATTGATAAACTTTAATTTAACGATTGTCATTATTGTAATATCTGGAAAAGTTTGAGTCGTTAATGATTGAGAGACTTTATTACCTTAACCAGTCTTGTTTTTGAAACCTACGGAAGAAATTCTAGACCGTTTTGGGAAGGTGATTGCACTTGCTTGCTTTGTAATGACTAGGTTCACTAAGAATCTAGGAATGTTTGGAAGCAGTTCCTGTCCTTGAGTTGGAATTTATATCTCACTTACGTTAGTAATCTACTCTCCCAAATTCTATGCCGCCGCCTGTCACCATTTGCAAGAGAGTTCGTGGGGCAATACCAGGCGGGATTCATGGGTGCCCGTGCTACCACGGACCAACTTTTCGCGATTCGGCAGGTTCTGCAGAAATGCCTCGAATACAACGTGCCCACACATCATTTGTTCATCGATTTCAAATCCGCATGCGCCACAATCGATCAAGATCAGCTATGGCAGATTATGCACGAGTACGGATTTCCGGATAAACTGACGCGATTGGTCAAGGCGACGATGGATCGAGTGATGTGCGTTGTTCGAGTATCGGGGACACTCTCGAGTCCCTTTGAGTCTCGAAGGGGGTTACGGCAGGGTGATGGACTTTCGTGTCTGCTTTTCAACATCGCGTTAGAAGGTGTGATCAGAAGAGCTGGGATAGACACGAGTGGCACGATATTCAGGAAGTCCATCCAGCTCCTTGGCTTCGCCGATGACATTGACATTATGGCACGGAACTTTGAGATGATGGCGGAAACGTACATCAGACTGAAGGCTGAAGCTAGACGGATTGGACTTGCCATCAACGCATCAAAGACAAAATACATGAAAGCAAGAGGTTCTAGGGAAGACAATGTTAGCCTCCCACCACGAGTTCAGATTGACGGTGACGAAATCGAGGTGATCGATGAGTTCGTGTATTTGGGCTTACTGGTGACCGCCGAAAATGATACCAGCAAAGAAATTCAAAGACGCATTATGGCAGGTAATCGTGCCTACTTTGGACTCCGGAGGACGCTCCGGTCGAATAAAATTCGCCGCCGCACGAAGTTGACTGTCTTCAAGACGCTGATTAGACCGGTGCTGCTCTACGGCCACGAGACCTGAACTATGCTCGTGGAGGACCAACTACGGTGGAGTGCAGATGGATGACGGAACGTGGAGGAGGCGAATGAACCACGAATTGCACCAGCTGCTGTGAGAACCATCCATCGTCCACATTGCAAAAATTGGGCGACTACGGTGGGCTGGGCACGTCGTAAGAATGCCGCACGACGACCCAGTGAAAATGGTTCTAGAAAGCGACCCAACAGGATCAAGAGGCGCGCAGCGGGCAAGGTGGATCGACCAAGTAGAAGGCGACTTGCGGACCCTTCGCAGACTACGAGGTTGGCGAAGTGTGGCCATGGATCGAGTAGAGTGGAGACGACTTCTTCGGACAGCAGAGGACAACAAGGCCTTAGTCTGATTGGTACGGTACGTACGTTAGTAATCTGAGATAAAGAACGAGAAAACAAAATCAATTCACACTCGTAAATGGATGTTTAACAGACGTTGTGGAGTTTATGTTTAACAGACAACCGAGGACACCTTTTGGCTTGGGAATGAACCCATGATATTCTCCTCAGTAAGCAAAATACGGTCACCACTAGGTAGTCAAGCCCCTTATATCAAGTCCCTGATCAAGTTGTTCTAACCCTTCTTCGTCTTTTTGCTCGCATTTCAAGCTTATTTTTTAACTCAATATTAGCTTATTGAGTGCTCTCAGCATTAGTCTAATTGTGTAGCCAGTACAATCATACTCTAGTCCAGGGAAGGCAAGAACTTTTCCAACCCGAAAAATGTCTTGACCGAACCGGGAATCGAACCCAGCTGCCTTCAGTATGGTCTAGCTTTGGTGCTGCGCTTTTACCGACTGAAAAAAGGAGGCCCCTTGAAGTTGCTCAAGGGAATTTTTTTTAAATTATCGTATAAGGTTTCGACGGAAGGGTCTCAGAATTTTATTAAATTTTGGTCACAGGTAGAGTGTATGATTATATGAACGAAAAAAATTGGGGTTAATATTTTTAATTTTCGAGGACATCACGTACTTTTAAAATTCATAGTGCGATGTCTAGTGAAGTGATAAAGAAATTATCTCAGCGTTTGTCCAGGTTTTGTTCACCTTCGACTCCGTCGTTATGTTTGTAAGCAAAACGTGCCAGATCTTGAATTTTCTTGCTAAATTATCATACGGCGTATCCATATTCAATGTGGCGGTAGATTTCACTAATTTAATCGTGTTCTCGATTGGCGAAATTGGAGGAAAATTCAAACAAGTTACAACAATGTTTCCCAAGCCAGGTTAACATGAAGCAATTTTCAATTTCGCCCATTTTTATTAGGGCCTCTCTTGGCTGCTGTCATTTCACGCCAGGCCTTCGATAAACCAAAGTAAAAACTAATTTGAATTTCCATCCATCGATTGACAACCCTCCCGGCAGTCAGTGCCGTGTCAGATTTGCCGATTCCAATATTTCCATAATTAAACCACACCATATTGATTTATTGGACATTTTTCGATCACGAATCCCAGCCGCGATTTTCACGCCCAGCTGGACATCCACTACCGCCCCAGAACGAAGCACAAAAATCCCTTCCACCGCCGGAAAGCACCCTGGCGACCACAGCACCGACCGGCTGGTTTGTACCGGCGTCATCAGCATTTTTCCGCTTCCCACTTTCGATCGCCCCGACCGTCGTCGTGGTCGTCGGTAGGTGTCGGTGAGAAGAAAATGCTATCCGACAGGCTTAAGTGCGACGTGGCGTGGGAGGAGCAGGTACCAGTCTAGATTTATTACCATCTTTCGTACTGAATTTTTAATCGCAGTTTAATTTTATTAATGTATTTTTCATAAACCAACATCGTGCTGCCGTGGCCAGCCGGCGGCACTTCGGGACCGTTTTCACAGGATGGCGGGGACTGGCAGCGAGGTGTGAAGAACGATGAAACCAAAACCACGGATAGACGGACGGTGGCCGTTTGTTCGTTCGTTCTAGCACTGCAAAGAAAGTTGATGGACAAAAGTTGAAGGGCGCAGGAAGAAGTTTCATAAGCGAAGCAGGGAAAACGGAACAAACCACCAGCAACAACGGTGGACACAGGAACACCAAGAGGGAGGTTCTAGTTTGATTTGTGTCTTTTTTGCTGGCAGCCAGAAGCGAGCGTGAAATGGAAATATTTATTTCTTTCAAACCGAGAATCGAAACCGGAGACTATGATTTATTGCAAGGGAAACTGGAATAATATTTGCTCAGAATTTGGGTGGCCTGAGGCATTGTATCGGTATGGATATTGAGGGCATGATTTGTGTACCAACAATCGAGTGGGAGTTACCATAAAATTGAACAACGGTCAAACTTTCACGTGATTAACTACATGACCATCGAGCTCATGGTGATAAACTTTTCCCCCTAATTATCCAGTTTGTGATATGCAATCGGGCGAACATTTACTCGCTAGTTGCTGCTGCACAGGCACCGGGCACCGGGCACTTACCTTGTTATTTTCAGCTCGTCGTCGGCGTCGTCCAACGAATTGCGTGCTTTAAATCGTACGACCAAGTTTTAGTTTGACACCACACCAGAGCGTGCACTGACCATTGAGATATCGCAGTATAAATCACGATCAAATATACACTGCACGCAAAACACAACTTGCTAACGTTTCTCTTCTAACGCGATACGAAATCACTACTAGCTTTGTATTTATATTCAAATATGGCTTGGAAAATGTGTGGCCCTGATTGATTTAGCTCCTGCACGATTGTTGATTCGATTGGTCACCGAACACGGCACTGCTTATCTGAAACGGGAATGTAGAAAAGGTGGAAAATTAGACGATTTAACGGCTAATTAGCGTTTGTCGTGGCTTCTAATTAAATGGATTAGGACACGCCATTCCGGATTTGGATTGTAGGTGACTATTGTTTGAAAATTGTGGTTTTTGTAGGTCCAGGTTTCAAGAATAATTGTTAGAATTCAAGATACTGGAAACTATCTCCTGATGAATCTGATGAACATTTGCTAGTTTGGATTTTTTAATATATATATTCTACTTTCTTAGTGTGCCCGGCCTTGCTCGGGATTAAATATTAGCTTGAGTTTATGCGCCGATTCAAAAAAGCATGCTATATTTTTTTTTCATTTGAACAGGACCCTTCTTTACAAAGGGCGGAGGGGTCGCGAACCATCATAAGAACCTTTCCTGGCCCCAAAAACTCCTGCATACAAATTTTCAACAAATATGTGTTTTGAAGTTGTTTTTTTTTTTTAAATAATCAAAATGCCTAGCATTTTGCAGGAAAACATTCACAGTTCTTGCACAAATTGATCAAAATTTTCAACCTGTCACTCAGTAAATTGGCGAAAATTGCACAGGACTGCAATGCCATCTGAGAACAACCCGAGTTAAGCTAAGTTTCTCTGGTGCTCTGGGGCTTATTTCAAGAGGTCCTCCATTTCCTCTATACGATTAAGCTCGGTACATGTCGTGCTGCGTTGCGAAAAAAAGAGAAAATTTCCTAAATAACGTTACAATTAAGTATGATTCACTCAAATTGTGTTCGATAATTCGAAAACAACTAAATACATTTTTATTTGACTATTGCGGGGAGTTAAGAATGGTTTTTAAGGGCTTGAAATTTCTAAAACTGGATCTCATTTCATGGGTTTGGAAAATAGAAATATATCGTGTCGGAACAGTCCAAACCACTATCCAGATGTTCGGTGAAGAATTTACCGTCCAGAACACATCAAAATCAGGCCGAAAACCGGGGCCTATGGAATGTGAGCTGGATCGGAGGTCACCCAATCTCTCGTCAATAAGAAAAATGGATCTGTTCGAGATTTGGCTAAAACCTGGAAACCTTGAAGAGTAACGTCCAACAGCACCAGGACATGAAATGGTTAAAATACGTTAAAGAAGCAATGGAAATCAAAACGGAGTCAGAAAGATGCTATATCCTTCAAATCGGACCATTAAAAATTGCAATAAAAACAGTCAACAGAACGGTGAAATCATCGGCTGCATCAAGGCGGTAGATCAAATCCTGTGTAGTGAATGCCCAATGATGCAAATCACTAAAAAGTATTTAATCGAATATACGGACACCAAACCGACATAAACAAATAGAGCAGTTCCACACCAAATGACGAATCGGAAAAAAAACTCGACCTTTTCCGATTTGCTTGGAACTTTGTTTGCTAAACTTCAAAATGGACACTCACATTTAAAAAATATATATATATAGCGCGGAAACGGCAATTCTCATCAAAATGTCGTCTTAGACAAAGCAATAGAGACAAATATTGTTAACTTGAGAAAAAATATACCAAAAAATGTTTTTAGTAATATCAAAGAACATGTCCATTGAAAAATTTAATACCAAAGTCTCTCAAGATGTCCTTGTCCGATCTTTATTTTATTTTTAATGAAAAATGCGAACTTTTGAAAGGTTTAAAATTATGGACACATAAATCGTTACTTCATGTAATTTTCACAAAGAAAACAATGTTTGAGACATTAGGTCGTATGAATAAACTCTTTTTATTCATACGGCCCATTTTAATCATTTTCTGTTAAAAAACACAAAACAAAATAATAATAATAAAAAAAAAAAACAAAAGTTCTACACTGAAAATATTTTTTCGTTAATTCGCTAACGCTCATTTCGTATCAATGGGTTTCGTAGATATCACATATATTTCGTAAATTGTGCGAAACATTTGTTGATCCTAACATTACGCTTAGTTCGTAAAATACAAGAACTGAACTTCGTACGGACGTAAACACTACATACAAAAATCATTCGTTGATTCGTGAAACTACAAAACTATTCGTTCACCTACGAAAATCATTCGTGCATTCTTGCATTGGACGCTCCTTATTATTACGAACCAATTCGTTTGTGGTACAGAGTGTGTGACAGCTAGAAGAACATATTCGTTAGTGGATGTTTTTCGATTCGTTCAACATCATCATTGGACTGTGGAAGTTTTGCGTTGTTTTTTGGCCCGATCACCGGTGTCGATGCCGCTTTGCAGCTGCAGCAAACTAAATCCATCATCCAACGGAATACGTACCACGGAGGAGCAAAAATGGCTCAAGCTGGGAGTTCCGTCTTAAGATATGGCCATCTTGGCACTGACGATCAACATGACGGATGCAACCAACTGCGTTTTCATCGAGGACTATCGGGAAGTTCACGGTCCCTGATGAGGTGAGCAATTTACCATCGTTTTGCAATTTGTAGTGGAACTAATCCTAATTTTCTTCAATATCCACAGCCTGTCAATCGATGCCCGTGAATTTTTCGGTGGACATAGACCGTATAGAGATCTTGGACACAGCCTATTCAACAAATCCTCAAGGTCATCGCATGGATGTCGTTCGAGACTGGATACTTTAACGAGACCGTGTCACTGTCGGGAAGGCGTTAGTGTGCTGCGGTTTTTAGAAGCTACTGGTGCGTAGTGAAGGAACCAAAATGTGATGAATTTATTTTAATTATTCAATATTCAATTCAATAAAGTTTTTATTATGACTTCCCAAAAAGACAGTTTTTTTTTTCCAGAGAAATGTTCGTGACTCTATGTATTGCTTTTCGTAAAGTTTTACCATATTTTTGTAAGTATACGGATGATTCGTAATATTTTGATACCTTCTATTTTTTCACGCGCATACATCCGTCCTTAGTTATAAAAAATATTCGTATCGAGTATGGCAACGCTTCGTAAAATACACGAATGTTAGGAAGTGAATGATTTTGGAAATTTATACGGAACAAGTTTCTTAGCATGTACGAAAACTTTTCGTTGCAGAAAACAACGAAATAATTCGTGAAAACAAACAAATGCTTTCGTTGTATAAACTAAATTTTATTTTCAGTGTAACGACTCATGTTAGTTTTCAAGTGTACATGGTTTTGAACACTCCAAAAGTTTACATTCTTCATAATCCTTTTTAATTTTTTTTTTAAAGCGAGCAGTCATTTTGATTAGAAATCTCGTATCTGCGCTACAATTTATTGAAAAAAAACAAGGGCTCAATTTAAAAAATTATACAAACCATGTGAACCATGAATTCAACCATCGACTACGAGGTTCAACCGGAGACGTCTGAAGATGTTGACCGGTGTCTACATACCATCGAAGAGGCGGTTTCCCGGGCCAAAGAACAATAAAGGGTGAACACGAAATTATTGCGACACATTCAACAGGGCATAACTTTTTTACCATTGGGTAAAAATCAACCAAATTTTGCACAATTTCTCATTGATGTGTATTGTGTACATGCTGTCAAACTCGAAGTCGTGTTTTTCGATTCAACGAAAATGGAGGTGAACCAACGCGAGTTGAGAGAACAAATTCTTTCCAAACACCTGGAATTTCCTGACCTGTCGCACCGGCAGTTGGGAAAAATGTTGAACATTCACCATTCAACCGTCTCCAGAGTGTTGAAGCGGTTCCAGGAGCGGTTGACGTTGGACCACGGTAAAGGAGCTGGAAGAAAACCGGGACCGGAGAACAAAAAGACGGAGGGAAAGGTGAAGCGGATGATTAAAGCAAATCCCAACGTCTCAAGCCGTGATTTGGCTAAAAAGATCGGCATGTCGCAGAGCTACGTCCAGAATGCAAAGAAGAGAGCTGGACTACATACATACAAGGTACAGAACTTTTCAAACCGCGATGAGCGGCAACAATCGACGGCTAAAACTCGGGCACGGAAGCTCTACGAGAAGATGCTGACAAAATATGGCTGCTGTGTGATGGACGACGAAACGTATATAAAAGCCGATTTTAAGCAAATTCCGGGGTTGGAGTTTTTCACCGGCAAGAGCAAGTTCGATGTGGACGACAAATTTAAGAAGAAGAAAATGTCGAAGTTCGCCTCCAAATATCTCATTTGGCAGGCCATCTGCTCTTGCGGACTGAGGAGTGAGCCTTTCGTGACAAAGGGCACAGTAAATGGCGAGATCTACAAATCTGAGTGCCTCGAGAAGCGCCTTTTGCCGTTCTTGCAGCAGCACGACGAAGCTCCGCTATTTTGGCCAGATTTGGCATCATGCCACTATTCTAAAAGTGTCCTGGAGTGGTATGAGGCCAATTCTGTCCATTTTGTTCCAAAGGACATGAATCCGCCAAACTGTCCGGAGCTGCGCCCGGTGGAGCAGTACTGGGCAATAATGAAGCGGGAACTTCGGAAGAGCAAGAAGACAGTCAAAGACGAGAAGAACATGTTAAGAAAATGAAAAAAAAATGAGAAACTGGTACCGGATGACACTGTAAAGACTTTGATGGAGGGCATCAAGCGAAAATGCGTTCAATTTTACACTCAAGGCTCCATCGATTAACTTTTCTTTTGATTTTTGAAGTAAATATATGTATAAAACTACCTTAAAATTTTGGTTTGATTCTAAACATTATAAGAAAATTGGCATGACATTTTCGGTGTCGCAATAATTTCGTGTTCGCCCTTTACGTGCCAGTATCCAGAGAGGTGAGTAACACTCTGAACCTGATCAAAGATCATTCAGACCAGGATGGTGGATCTCAGAAATAACGATTTTGTCAATAAGATCCTTTCTCTCCCAGATTTTGCAAAGCCTTTGTGGAAGCTAACGAAATTCTTAAAAAAAATAAGCCCAGACCTATTCCACCACTGGTTCCACTGAATCGTCTCGATAATTCTGTGGTGCATCTGATAACTCTTGTTGAGAAGGCTTCTGTGATTGGCCAACACTTCGTCAGCTGCCATATCTTGGACAAAACGTATACAGTGATACAGGATACAGTGATCTTATC